GCCAGTGAAGCAATGTCCTCCACAACTAGACTGAAGAACAAAATGACAGCAACTTGTCTGTTCCCCTTCCCCCAATTCCCCAGCACTGCTCCCATCCCCCAATTCCCCAATAAAAATCTTAAAAAAAAAAAAAGGTATATCATAAAAAAGGTATATATACAACGTATCGTTTTAAAAATAATTTTTATCTACATTCTGTACACTGCTTTGGTTTTGGTTCCCACCTTCCTACATTTAACACACATACCTCTGACCTAAATAATCTCTAATAGCACTCTTAATGTCTACTAGATGACACCTTCCAAATAACTATCATAAAGTTTATAAATTCAGTAAGATGCACTTAACTAATTACAATGAATATTTTTCTATTTCAATGCACAAAGATTTACCTCATCCTTGTAAATGGCTCCAGTGTACTTCACTATATGGATGCATCATTAACACAAGTGATGGATATTTAGGTTGTATTCCATTTTTCCACATAAACCATGCTACAATAAACATTTTTGAACATGTATTTTTTCTCACTTTCCCCATTATTAGGATTAATTTCCTGGAAGCAGAATTGCTGGTTCAAAAGAAATATGTTTCTCATTTTGATCCATATTGCTACTCTGCCCTCCAAAAATCTTATAGCAATTTATACTTTCATGTACACTGCTTAAGTGTTGTCACAGCCTGGATGGCAATGGGCATTACCACCAACCAATCTGATCGTTTTTAAAAAAGATCTCATTGTAGATTTAACTTGTATTTTTAAAATTATCAATAAGGCTAATTATCTCTTCAAATGTTTAATAGCCATTTATATTATTTTTCTACAAGTTGTCCATTCATATCTTTCTACCTTGTGTTCCTCTTGCTAATTTGTAAGAATGTCTTACATACTGAGGCTATCAATCCTCTGCTCATATATGGTTAATGGTTTTTACAGCTGATTTGTTTTCTTGATTTATGAAAACTAAGTCTTTTGCTATATATAGGTTTTAAACTTTTAGGTTAAATCTATCAATCTTTTACTATAAAGTGATGAGTTTTGAGTCATGCTTAAGCCTACCTCAGTTTGAACACTTTAAGCTCATATATTGAACTACATAGCAGCAATTGTTGATATATCTTATTACAGAAAAAGAAATCCATAACATAGTTATAATTTTAGTATTTTATAGATGAGTATGAAAATACAGTTAAATTCAATGCAAATAAGAACCTATAAATCCTGACAATTATGACCAATTTTTGCTTATGTATGGAAAGAGATGGAATAAGAATTAAATACACAATGAAGAAACCTGCCTGCAGATCTGTTTCAGCAGGGCTTTCATTTTCATCATCATCTGCTCTGATAGTATCAGAATGACAATCTTCCTCAGCTTCTGCCTGAAGGAAAAACAAACAAACAGAAATAATGATCAGGAATATACAAACATCAGTTTCCCTCTGAAAACTACATCTCCTATTTAACAATATACCCAATAAAATATACATATAGTTGTTTTTCTCTAGATACCTTCTTCATAGTAAGTTTAATGGTTCCAATCAGAAAAATCTGATACTTTATAATTTTTTAATACTGTAGAATAAACCGCTTCACTGGACTTTAAAGTGGTTGAAAAGAACAACTTTGCCTCAGAAAATAACATTTAGTTGTGGTAGAGAGTTCAGCAAATAGTTCTTGTTTCATGGATTACTTAAAAGATCCTGTGTAATCCATATAAGGATGTCCTTTCTTTTACACACTGGCATATTATTGATATGTGAATATGACTTTTGTGTATTAATATTTTAAATGTACTAGGAAAGCTCATAAAGACATGTAAAGTGAATATTTTTGTAAAGAAGCCCCTTCTATTTTGTTTTACAAATCCGCATTTTTATATATTGGATTAACTTAAAGTGGTATTAAACTGGAATGGAATTACTATGCCCGGCTTGGAGCTTAACAGACATCTTGGAGCTTTCATTTTATCCTTTTACTCTCAATAAATATTTGCTAAATTAAACTGAACCCTACCTTTCAGTGAAGATGAAATGTTGCCTAAGTTCAGTCTGTTAGCTAACAGACTTACTAGCAAATGGGACTTGCTCAATGTGTCAATCAGGAAAATGACCTTGAAGGTTAGTTAGAAACAAAAATAATAAAACCTATTTACTTTAACTCCATCCAAAGCTAGTAAGTTTTACAATTGCCAATTTTAGTTATAATTTGTTTCCAGGAAAAAAAAAATGTTTGTGTTAACAGATATATTGGAATACAGCAACCAGAGATACTTGCACTACTTTATAGTGCAACATAAATAAGCCTCGCTTCCTATCTTATCTCTGGCAACCAGACTTAAAGCAGCAGAGCCTTTAAGACTTGAGCTAGTTAGTATACGGTAAAGTGATTGGCACACCATAAAAGCTAAATCAGCAAAGAAACAAGTGGGAGAGGCCAAGACTCAGATGAATTTCTAGAAAACTGGAAAAAGTAAACATTGACGTATTGTCAAATACATTTTTTTTTTGAGTCTTTAAGCTGGCAGCTTTCCCTACTCAGAACATCACTAATAAGAAAATACACAATAAAGAACTTTGAATTTATAGATCCCATTGAGAAATGCGTTTCTCTCTCAAGAGTCTGCTTATTACCGTAAACTCTAAGTACAGTGAATATATCTGAGTTCGCTAGGTTATCCTGTTAGTAACAGCCTCCTACCTCTTGCCTAGTGGTCATTCTAAAGCAGCGGTTCTCAACCTTCCTAATGCCGCGACCCCTTAATACAGTTCCTCATGTTGTGGTGACCCCCCAACCATAAAATTATTTTCATTGCTACTCTAGAACTGTAATTTTGCTACTGTTATGAATCGTAATATAAATAGCTTTTTGTTTTCCGATGGTCTTAGGCGACCCCTGTGAAAGGGTTGTTCGACCCCCAAAGGGGTCGCGACCCACAGGTTGAGAACCGCTGTATCTAAAGTGACATCAAGGGCCCTGCTCTCTCCAGTTTCGTGTTCATATGCTGCTTGCTCTCTCCATCTGGAATGACTGCTTCTTCCTCACTTGGCTACTTCTACTCATCCTTTAAGATTCAGTTCAGGGATCATCCCAGTAGAAAGCATTTTCTGATCCTTATAATTGCCTCTTGTTTTTCCATTACACTTGTGCTTGTATCACAGCACTTAAGACTTGTATTGAGATTATTTTTGTTTCTTTGCTAGTTAGTGCACTGGGTGGGAATAGGGATCATGTCTCAGTCATCTCTGTAACCTCAGAAGGCCAAATACATTGCTTAATTCATAGTAAATGTCTGCCCAGGCCTCAGCTGTCTCATCTGTAAAGAGACAGTGTTGGATTTGGTGACCTTTAAGATCCTTTTTCATATGTGACATTTTATGATTACAGATTTGGTTATATTGAAGATTTAGTATTGTACTAGGGTCTAGCACTATGCCAGGTTGATAACAGGTGCTCAAAAAAATTGGTTGAATTAACAAATAAAATGCCATGTGATATATATAATGCATGTCTCAAAAATGAGGAAAGGAAACAGGAAACCTACAGTACAGACAGCATCTTCTTCCCTGATTTCCTGCGTTATAAGAGAGTTCTAATCCATTATTACTTTGATTTTGACAGTATGACAAAAACAAGAAACTATCAAATTTGGGGTTACTATTAATACATTTTTCAACTCAAATACCACCTGAAATAAGTAAGTCTTCAGCGGTCACACAGGGATTGTCACTTTATTTTTCCTAATTAAGTTTGACCTAAACATCACCCTTTACTTGAGTAGCTCATGTTTTCATCATTTTACTCCTGTTTTACACATGGGGTTAATGAAATATACAAAGTTAAGTGCTTAATCCTGGTCAAGGGAAATACTTTTTAAAGTTCAGGGGCATAGTCAATTACTGCTTTTCCTATCCTCCGGGTTAATTTAATAAAATAAACTCATTCAGCTCTTCGTTTATCCAATAAATATGTGCGTGTCTACTATAAGCAATTACTTTGATATAATTTCACCCTTGATTCGTGCAACCCTATTCAGAGATGAGTTTCTCGGATGGACAACTGATTCAAAGCCAAAGAAAGGCAGCACAGGGCAGACTACGCATTCCAGCATGCAACAGTCCTATGGAATGTGCGTTGTCAATTTCTGGAGCTTAGCTCAGTCTCTCCATTTGGACCGCACTGTCGCTTCTTGGGCCCTCACTGCTGTGATGTGAGGCATAATCCTTCCAACGCCACGCCGCCACCACCGCCTGCCAATATCCTACCCAGGGCACTGGCGCGTCACGGGTCAGGTGCGTCCTAAACCCATGGCCTCCTAAAGGGGCCCGAACGGCCTCACTGTGCGCACGGCTTTCCAGAGGAGGCGCAATCAACAAGTGTCTCCGCATGCCAAGGCCCCCTCCAGATTTCAGATGCTGCGACGGCTCACCTCAATCTATGCTCACTGCTTTTGATAGAATCCCTCAAGGGGGGCGAGATTGGTTCAATGTCTTGAGCGAGCCGAGAAGAGGCATTTTTTTTTTCCCGGCCGTCCTGCAAACCCACTCTCTCTTCACATCGAATCCCGACTGAGGGGTTCAGCAGCAAGAAACCCCGGAAAGCGGTCAGGGCTGGCACCCGCTCCGCTCCCTCTCAGGCCGGAGGTCTCATAATGGGTAGCGGCCGCGCAGTGCAGCTCCCACTCCCCTTGGGGCTTTCCCCCAGGCCTGGCCCCTCCTGCACACTGCACCCCCGCATCGCATAATCCCCCTGCCCCCTCCTCAGGTTACCATACTGGCGGGCCGGGCGGCCGCGGTCGAAGGGCTCTCCGCGCCCCCTCTGCACCGCCCCCCGAGGAGGTGTGCCGGGTTGTCCGAGTGTCTACTCCTGCCTGTCTGCTGCAGCGGGGCTTAGTAGAGTTCTCGGTCGGAGAAGCGCACCAGGCAGCGGCAGTAACTGCGGGCCCGGCGTACGGCAGCCATCTTCGCGGGGCAGGGGGCCAGATCGGGGCGCGCTGGAGCGGCGGCAGGGGACACGGAGAGCGGAGGGACGCCCGCTGCCAGCGAAGGCCGAAGACTGTGCGGCAACCAAAGCGTCGGCCCTGCTGGAGACCCCGGACGCCGCTGCAGATCTTATCCCTCTGCTGCGGGAACCTGCGCCGGCGCACCGAGCGTGCGCAGTGCCGCCGCCGCCGCCGCCGCCGCCTGCGTACAATGGCACCTCTCCACCGCCCGGCGCCTGCTGCCTAATAGAGGAAGAGGGGGCGTGGGCCTACTATGTGCCGTGGCGTAAAGTCACCAATTTACCGAACCCCAAACCCTACCTACTTATTCGGCTCAATGAACAGTTATGCAAACTTGAAAAAAAACATCAACTCAAAAATGTTTGTAACTCAAATTAAATGTTAAGACCCTAAGGCAAGTAGCCCTGAGCATCAAACGACGCTCGCTGCACGCTCCTCGGCGACTGTAGCTGGAGTCCACGCCAGGAATGCAGGGAAACAGTGAAACTCGCCTACAGTCACAGGCTGTTATAACGATTAAACTTTTTAAAAGCACGGGTCTGGGGGTTGAGGAAGAGATGCATTTAGGAGAGCAGCAGGGGGAAAGTAAACTCAGCGACCGCAAGGAATCGCACTACAGATCCCATCATGCAATAGGGGAAGGATGTAGGGGCTCCAAGGCCTTGAAACCCAAGTCCTGCCCAGGCGGCGCGGGGGAGACACTCTGGGATTTGTAGTCGGCCATTCCGCGTGGAGCGCCGGAACTTACACAAGGTACTCGCCCCACCTTTTCAATCCCAGACGCCTGATTTCACGTCCACAGAAGGCGCTCTTATGTATCAGGCAATATATTATTTCCCCATTCTTTACATTGTTTTAAATACGGAATTTTGCAAGCTCTGTGAAAACCTAGTCTTCTAGCCTCTTACACACTTCATTCCGCAAACGTTTTACGGAGTTTCTAGTTTCTACTAGGTACCGGGTACTCATAGTCATCAGGATTCCAAGACCCTACTTGCAGCGAATTAACAGAATTTAAAACTCTTAAATATTGTTTTATTCTGGAGATCTTAGAAATGCAGTACATCTTCGGCAGTACATATCCAGAAAAATAGTGGCGCGGGGGTGGGGGCAGCGGGAACAGAACGTTAAGCTACAACATAGAATCCCAACTGCTGTCTTAATGTTAGGATCCACCCTTCGGATGAGTGTGCTTTTAGTTGCACCCTAAATAAGCTACCTATAAAAAGTACCTTTACGTTTAACGGAGGCCAAAAATTTAATAGTTTTGTTTTTAAAAGAGACTCTAGGGCTGAGGCCTTTTAAGGATGATTTTCCTCCCAATGATCTCTTTAAAAAGGGTTTTAAAATTTAAATCTGGAGGATTAGATGTAAGAATTGAAAATAGAAGACAATTATATATGTGAATCATGAATACAAAAGATCAGTTTTGCAAATGAAGAATGAGGTATTAAAACATTTTCGAAACTACTCGACTAAATGTGTTGAATGCTAATTTAAAATATTTTGGTCAATTAGCACAATGGTTTCTATTAATCTAGCAAATAAACAATAAAGCTTAATAAAGTAATAATTAGTATTTGTAAGGATAAACTGAGCACATATTTTATTAAAACGCTAGATTTCATAGCTATTAATTTTCTATATTAGATTAGTATCCACTAGACCTCTTTACAGGGTTGTGTTATTTCATCATATTATATTTATTGGGTTGTAATTTTCTCCAGGCTAGAACTACTGACCTAAGCCATTTACTAGCCCAGTGGACCCTTGTTTAAGTAGACCAAGATAGTCCCTCTATTTGCTAGGTAGACTTGCTTGGGCAACTGAATTTGATGAAAACTGATAATTGGATATACACTAAAAATCATATTTCATAGTAGTAGCATAAGATATGTCTTCCTACCTTTTCATTGATAATAACATTCAATTTCATTTGCCACAGGATTTGTGTGTTGCATAGGTAAGCACAAAGGTAGATAGATAAACGTTATACATTTGCCAAGTTGCCAGGTGACCCTTTCCCATTTAGGACACGAAGTCTAAGAAAGCTGGACTGTATTGTATCTTGCAGTTTTCTTCAACAGGAGCAAGAGATGGGGATTCAGGCCTTTTAAATAGATTTTTTTAGGGGGAAAGAAAATCTGTCTTCAGTTCTTAGACGTCAAACATAAAAATAGTGAGAGAAAATTGATATGGTGGCTGGGGAATTTAAACTCAGCGAAAGATCCACAATATGTAAAAAGGTTACTGCTTTAAACATAATTGTGTTGCTTGGGGCAATGTGGCTCCCCTGACCAGCAGCACCAGCAGAGCAATCTGTGGGGGGTTTTTTTGTTGTTGTTTTTTAAAATTAATTTATCGGGGTGACATTGGTTAGTAAAATTATATAGGTTTCAAGTGTACATTTTTATACTACATCATCTGGTGCCTCCAACTAAAGTTTGAGAACCATTGGTTTGGGGCAATTATGTAAATTTGAATCAAGGACCTTGAAGCAATTTCTTTTTTCAAAGCCCTTCAGAGCCAGTCATTATATGGATGACTTAAGGTAATATCTACAATATAATTTATGACACAAGTAAATGTGCTTAAAAAGTGTTAAGTGTTAGATTTCATATAACTAGTTACAGAAGACAACTGTTGTGTAGAACATATCTAGTCTGTTTCCTACCTGGATAACCATCTGGTTTTTCAAACTAAAAAACTCTTCAAGTTCAAATGAATGCTAACAGGCAGTCAGTTGCGTCTTTATTTTAAACATTTTTGTGGTAAAATATATATAACACAATTTGCCATCTTACCAATTTTGAGTATACAATTCAGTGGCGATGATTTCTCTCACAATGTCTTGCAACCTCAGCTGCGTTTTTTTAAAACCAGGAAAAATGATTTCACCACGATTACCTGTAATGAAATGTTCTTAGAACGTGCATCCACGGCCACCATTTCTAAATCCTGATACTTGATGCAGCCGATTTGCAATAAGGCGTGCGTTTGGAGCTGAGATCACATTAGTGGTCCTGGCCGCAGGGTTCCCTGGGCTCTGTCCCGCGTCTAGCCGAGACTGAAGCGCAACCGCTCCGCGCCCCAGCTCTGCGCCTCCCGGAGGCCTGCACGCGGTGCAGGGACGCGCAGGGCCAGCGAGGGGGAGCTGCAGGGTAACTTTTCCCAGGGAAAGCGGCCAGTCGTCCCCACTAGAAGCCTCCCTGCCTTTTGTTTGTTTTCCTGCTGGAGGCTGGAGAGCGGCTGGGTTCCTGCTGCTCTACCATGCGCTGCGCGGCGGGTGCGACTCGCCGGACCTCCCGGGAGTCCTTGCACGGACGCCTTGGCCTCTCCTAGCAGGGATCGCCCCCATTCACCGTTACCTAGCGGGCTGCTGCGCCCCACTTGCCGAGGAGCTGCGCTCACCGCAGGATCGGGCCCCAGCCTGTGTTCACCGCGCCAGTAAGTGGGATCAGGTATTTAGGGGCTTCTGCTGGGCGACTTGTCACTCGGGGTGCTGGACTGGAGCTACGGAAGGACCCCTGTCCCGTGGAGCGGTGAGGGATCGGAGGTGGGGAGGGAGAGGTTAATGGGTTGTAGTTTCTATTCACGATCATGTGGGTCTCTCCCTCTTGTCATGAAAACTCCCTTTTCCTCGGAGCCTGGAAGATTTTGATGGGTGTTTACCTTTTAGTGTTAAAGAGGGGAAAGATTCGTACCCGATATGAAGCCCCTTTAGTAGGATGTGGAGGACTTGCTCTTGGAATTTTCCTGAGTAGGCCTTTGGCTGTCCCGCAAGGGATCTGAGCAAGAATCCTCACACATTTATGTGCAACCATTTTTCACTGGGTTTCTTTCTGCTCTGATTTCTTTCTTACTAATCTGAGTACATGTTATGAGAGGGATGTTGAAGGGTTTTCCAGAACAAGAGTTTCTTTTGTAATGCACGTTTTAAAGTTTGACTTTGACACTAACATTCAGGGCTTTTACTTTTAAATATAAAAGTAGTTTAATGCATCGTTCTGTAGGAACCAGTATTCATTTCCACTTACAACTAAATAAAGATCTGCTTTTGCTAAAGCTCGACTGTGCTGGGAATACTACCCTGAATTTTGCACACAGGGCTAGATTTCTCTAAGGTATTGGCAGTTGTGTGAGCGCGAGTGCGTGTGTGCGTGTGTGCGTGCGTGTGTGTGTGTGTGTGTGTGTGTGTGTGTGTGTGTGTGTGATTTTGGCCTGGAAGCACTCTTTGTAGTAACAGAAGTTTAATAGCTACAGTTTTCATTTCGCACGTTTTCCAGTGAGTGGGCTTTCTGGATGTGCCCCAATAGCGAATTACTATTTCGGGAAATAAAATTAAAATGAGCTTTACATTTGTGTAGTCAACATATTAAATTATTAAGAATTTGTGTCTCAACCATATGCCAGCTTTGCTAGGAGTTAATGTGTGCATCAATATGTACATTTGAAATACTTTGTGAAAACGAACTGTAAAAGCGGTGCGATTTGGTAAAGAATCTTGAAGGCCTTCCTATCTATTTGAGGATCAATAATTGTAAAATACTAGGAAGTGGTTGTAGAAATGAAAACTGTGCTAGGATTCTTTAGGTAAAATGATATCCTGTACCACTGCCCCCTTAAGGTTCCGCCCTCTACCATGACCCTGCCCACTTTTTACTTCTCCCCTCTCTGCTTTGCCTTGCCCCTCTTCTCCAAAGTCAAAACTGGTGACTGGGCAGGAGTGGGCAGCCACATTTCTAAATAAGACTGGTTTAGTTGTAGATGATGGAGGGACGTGTTGGAGGGTTGATGGAGCCTGTTTGAGTAGGCAGAAGTCTGTCTTCCTTGCCCAGGGAACTCATCATTTAGTCGCAGAGAAATGGTCTTTTCTCAGTGAAGTTTCCTACCTACAGGCTGTATGTAAATGAGCCAGGATAAAGAGCAGGGCTTTGTGGGTGTGTGTGGGTGTGTGTTTGGGGGCAGGAGTGGTATT